GCTGGGTCAGGCGCAGCTCAGGCTCAGCTCGGGGACACAAGACCCTTCCCGTCCGTCTGTCTGTGTTTCCCTCCTCCTTTTTCTTCCTTTGCTTTGGCTCCCCACCCCTCCTCCTCCCCTCAACCCCCTTGCCATATGCTCACACCCTGAGCTCATGAGCTGGTCCCCAGAAGAGTGCAGGGGGCAGAGAGAGCCCCTGGGTGACAAACATGCCCTCTGCGCCAGGCTGGTGGAGAAGCCCAGCACGGGGTCCGCAGAGCACCCAGAGTCCGGCCAGGGACCCATCGTCGCCCGCACGGCCTCGGGACCTGCCCTGGCCTTCTGGCGGGCGGTGCTGGCTGGAGACGTGGGCTCTGTCTCCCACCTCCTCGCCGACTCCAGCACTGGCCTGGCACCGGACTCCGTCTTTGATACCAGCGACCCAGAGCGATGGAGGGATTTCCGCTTCAACATCCGCGCTCTGAGTACGGGCTGGGGCCCTGGGGGTCTGAGCGGGATAGGGGAGGCTGGGCGTGGAGCCCGCCTCCCGCGCTGCCCGGCAGCTCTTTGCCTCCCTCCAGGGTCTGAGGCTCATGTCCCCTCTCTCCCCAGGACTCTGGTCTCTGACGTACGAAGAGGAGCTGACCACCCCACTGCACGTGGCAGCCAGTCGGGGCCACATAGAAATTCTGCGGCTACTGCTGAGGCGGCGGGCAAGGCCGGACAGTGCCCCTGGGGGCCGCACCGCCCTGCACGAGGCCTGTGCTGCGGGCCACGTTGCCTGTGTCCATGAGCTGCTGGTGGCAGGAGCCGACCCCAACATCCCTGACCAGGATGGGAAACGCCCCTTGCACCTCTGCAGGGGGGCCGGAACCCTTGAGTGAGTGACTCCTCACCCCAAGCCCCCCCCCCGTTCCACTCCAGGGGAGGACAAGAGATGCCCTCAGGTGGATTACGTCAGAGGCTGGCAGGTGGGTGGGCCAGATGGAGGAGGAGTCGCGGCTCAGATAGGGGGTCAGGATGTAATCGCTCCCCAAACCGTCCAACCACTGGCCCCAGGAACTTGGGAATGACCTGGACTTGGGACAGTCCCTGCTTCGACCCCAACCCCCGTTCCACTCCAGGGGAGGCCAAGAGATGCCCTCAGGTGGATTACGTCAGAGGCTGGCAGGTGGGTGGGCCAGATGGAGGAGGAGTCGCGGCTCAGATAGGGGGTCAGGATGTAATCGCTCCCCAAACCGTCCAACCACTGGCCCCAGGAACTTGGGAATGACCTGGACTTGGGACAGTCCCTGCTTCCGCAGAGGTGGCAGCAGCCAGCGGCATGGCCTTTACCAAGGAACTTGTCTGGATCCATTACAGGATCCATACTGTGCTGGAAAGCATTACTGTTTTTTTGAGCTTATCCTATGATCCACGCACACCACCAACGAAGGCACAGTCTTGCCCTCAGGGTCTGACTGTTCGGTGATCCAGACCAGCTGGAGAGAATAGCAGCCCCCAGTTAGGGCCTGCGGTGGTCCCTGTGGGTGGGGTCTGGTTCTCGACTTGGCAGGTCTGGCCTTTCCAGACTGGCAGATACCCTCAGATAAATGGCTCAGGGACCAAGTCCAACCAGCCAAACTCACAAGAAACTGATGGCTATGCCCACGTATGACCCCATAGTATTTACTGTAGGGCCTATTCCTTTACGGTGACCCAAATAACTATGCTCTGTATCTAAGGAACTTTGGAGGATGAGTCCTCACAAGTTTTCAAGGAGCATGGAATCCCGCAGAGGGAGCCTTGGAAAAGCTATAAACTAACTGCACGTCCAATGGAGGCTTCGTCTCTGCTGGCTTCACACCTGCCAAATGTCACATCTTGCCCCTGAACGATGCCACATTTTTGATCCTTACATTCTTCTCCTACCTGTTCAGCTCATCAGCCTTCAGGGTTGTTGTGAAGAGGCTCCAGGGACTTATCATATTATGGTTAAGATGTGTTCTATGCCAGCGTGGCCCATAGAAATAATATAATGTGAGCCACGTAGGTAATTTAACATTTTTCTGGTAGCCTCATCCCAAAATGAAAAAGAAAACAGGTGAAATTAATGTTTAAAATCCTGGTAAAATATACATAGCATAAAATTTGCCATGTTAACCATTGTTAAGTACATTAAGAGCAGTCACATTATTGTGCGACCATCGCCACCATCCATCCCTCTCCTGAACTTTATTCATCTCACGAAACTGGAATTCCATACTCACCAAACAGCAGCTTCCCGTCCCTCCCTCCCCGTGGCCCGCGGCAAGCCTTCTACCTTCTGTCTCTAGGAACGTCACTATTTTAGGTATCTTATGTGAGTGGGGTCATACAGTGTTTGTTCTTTTGTGACTGGCTCATATCATTTAGCGTGATGTCCTCAGGGTTCATCCACGCTGTGGCATGTGTCAGAAGTTCCTTCCTTTTTAAAAGCCGAATAATATTCTATTGTGTGAGCATTTATCCATTGGTTCATCTATTGATGGACACTTAGTTTGCTTCTACGATTGGGCTATTGTGAATAAGGCTGCTGTGAACATGGGTGTGCAAATATCTGTGAAACAGGTGAAAAGAATTTTAATAATGTATTTTATTTAATACGATATATCCAAAAGGTTATCATTGCAACATGTCATCAATACAAAGAAACTAATGAGATATTTTACATTCTTGTTCTGTACCAAGTCTTCAAATCGGTGTGTATTTCACACTGAACAGCGCGCCTCAGTTAGGACTAGCCGGATCGCAAGTGCTTGACAGCCACGTGCGGCTGGCGGTTATGGTACTGGACAAGGCAGTTCAATACAGTCTCGCGGCTTTAGTGCCGGCGGTGTTCCAGCCCAGCCTCCCTGAGGTCACACCCAGTGATAATCCTCCCTTCCTTTCTTGAGTAAGCGAGTATAGATTTAAAATTATTATGGAGAATTTCAAAGGCATAGAAATATTACATTATCCTGCCCGCGATCCATCAGCATCCGTACCACCCATCCCCACTGCCGAATGCTGCTGTTATGAGCTCTTATGATAATAGCTTTTTGGGCACCGTCTCACACACTGCCCACAACAATGTCCTTTAGCTCTAGGCCTCAGCCATCTTCCTCATCCTACAGATGAGGAAACCGGAGCTCATCTTAGCAAAGAGGTTAAATCCCTTAGCCTTAAACTTTGGTACACATATTCTTACAGGCACGCAGAAGCTTCCGTGGGGGCCGTGGTGGGGCAAATCTGGCTGGCCACTTGGGGTTTTGTTGGTCTTTGTCCAGCTGCCCCCATTTCCGTTTGCGCCCACCGCCAGGCTCCACTCTTCACTTCCTCCTTCGGTCCCTCCAACTGCCCGTCCTGCCCCCAGACCCGAAGGCCGGCTCCTTGCCTGACTAGCTGCGCGAACGTGGGCCAGATGCCCACAACCCCAGGGCCTCGGTCTCCTCATCCGAACCTGCCATAGGAGGGCCGTGAGCACAAAACGAGTGAGCGTGCAGGGCCCTCAGGAGGCGCCTGCTCTAAGTGCGTAATTCAGCTTGTGACCTTCCCTCCCACGGAGGGGCTTAGTGCACTGTCCTGCGGTGCAGACAGGAGGGCGTTGCTGATCCTGCAGAACGTTGCCGATGACTAGTGACAGGAAGGAAGGTAAGGGCAGACAGAACCAGGAGCCACCCAAGGCACCCACATGTTTGCTTTGCTCAGACTGGTGAGAATGCAGGGGCGAAGGTCTGTACCCCATTCTCCTCCCCACCACTGTCTCGCCCTCACTAGGTGTGCGAAGCTGCTCCTGAGGTTTGGGGCAAAAGTGGATGGTCGGTCTGAGGAAGAAGAGGAGACGCCCTTGCACGTGGCTGCCCGGCTTGGCCATGTGGAGCTGGCAGACCTTCTTCTACGGCGGGGGGCGTGCCCCGATGCCCGTGATGCAGAAGGCTGGACCCCGCTGCTGGCTGCCTGTGACACCCGCTGCACGTCCCCCGCCGATGCTGAAGCCACCACGGCCCGCTGCTTCCAGCTGTGCCGCTTGCTGCTCTCCGCTGGCGCTGACGCTGATGCTGCGGACCAGGACAAGCGGCGGCCCCTGCACCTGGCCTGTCGCCGTGGCCATGCGGCTGTTGTTGAGCTGCTCCTGTCCTGTGGTGTTAGTGTCAACGCCATGGACTATGGAGGACACACCGCCCTGCACTGCGCTCTGCAGGGCCCCCCCTCAGCCCTGGCCCAGAGCCCCGAGCACACGGTGCGGGCTCTGCTCAACCACGGCGCTGTCCGAGTCTGGCCTGGGGCCCTTCCCAAGGTATGGGGCAGGGGGCACAGGGAGGGCAACGAAGGTGAGGGGACAGGAGACTCGGCGCTCCTGCGTGCTCCGGATGCAGCCCAGACCTTAGGCCTTTGATAGGTCAGCTCAGTCTGTCGTTTACTCCACAAGTCAGCAAAGCCCAACAGGGGGCAAAGGTAAGGACACAGACCAGTAGGAGGGGCGTGTGTGTGTGTGTGTATATGTGTGTGCGTGTGCGCGTGTGTGTGCATGTGCACAGTGCTCACATGCATGCATGTGTGCGCATGTGTGAAGGCGGACGGACGGCAGCGTGTGTGTGCATGTGCACAGTGCTCGCATGCATGCATGTGTGCACATGTGTACACATGTGTGCGCATGTGTGAAGGCGGACGGACGGCAGCGAGGCAAGATTATAAAGGATGGGAAAAGTCCTGGAGGAGGAGCCGGGACCGCTGTGGGCAGAAGGAGTAGTTTCTTCATTAGGGAGTGAGCTGATGAGCGACGCATTTAGGAAGCTCCGCCTGGCAGTGGGACCCACTGGTGAGAACCTCGGGGTACAGGAGAGGTCCCCCTAAGGCAGAGCATTGAGACCAGATCATGAGGTTCAAGCTTTCTGACCATCTGCAGACTGATGTGGTCCTGGTTTCCAAGATCTTAGGAGGACGTACATCGTCAGCCCAGCCACTGCCATCTTGGCACCTGAAGAAAAGACTTTTCCCGTCCATTTCCAATCTGTATCTTATGCTAATTTCCCCAAAGTGAGTTCACCTGGAAGACCTGTGCTCCTGATGCTTTGGCAGGGTCCCTGCCTCATGCCGTGTCGTGTCTGGAAAGGGCCGGCTGACATCATGGAGGGCACCGGGACTGGGCTGGGGACCAGGACCAGTATGGCGGTGGGCAGTGTCCTCTGCCCTGCGTCTCGGCTTGTTCCGCGACCCCACCCCGTCCTGGATGCCACTCTGTTGTCCCCGCCTCTCCCCTTCACTCACGAACCTGGAAGCATCTGTCTAGATTCCTAAGCAAGACCAAGTAATTAAACAGCCCGAGAGTTCGGCAGATTGGTCTCCCCTTTGGGAAAATACAAGAAAATCAACAATTAACACTAATTAATCTCCTATTAACACCAGATAATTAGGAGACGAACAATTCCCTGTAATCTGATGGTGGCTCTGACAGCTAATGATTTCCCATAGTCGGGGACAGGGCGGGAGGAGGAGGCGGAGTAACAAATGGGTTTCCGGGGACCACACCGCCCACCTTTCTGGCCCTGCTTCTCTCCGCCTCCGGCACCAAAAGGGCCGGCACGGCAAAGTGCCCCGTTCGTCCCTTCATTTGGGCGTCATGATCAGAACGAGCAGGCAGGAGTCCGCATCCGCTTCCCGCCAGCAGCAGCTGTCCCAGGCTCGGCTGGTTTCCTGTCCTCCCTGCAAAGAGGCCTCCACGGCCCATCTGGGACCACTGGCAGCCTCAGCCATCTCTCCAGGAGCCACCAGGCCTGACCGGGCACTCAGGAGACCTGGCTTTGAGGCTCGTTCAAGTAACTGTAGGCAAATCGCTGGAATTCTTTGAACCCAAGTCCCCTGCATGTGATAGTCTCAACCTAAGAGTGATGAAAAGCAGTTGGAGCACAGTGGGTAACTGGGAGCCGGCACAGCCCTGAGCCAGGCACGCTGCCTCTGTGACCCTCTGCAAGTTGCTTAATCTCTCTGGTCCTTAGTTTTCTCATCTGTAAAACAGGGACATAACAGTATGCCTGCTTCTTAGGGTTAGTGTGAGAACTAAATGACTTCACCCAGATAAAGCTCTTCGGACAGTGACTAACCTGGAATCAGTGCTCAATATCTGTTACCTAACATTGTTCTAAAGTCCAGTGATACATGTGAGAGCACTTGGAAAGCTGTCAGGCATTATCCCAGCGCAGGGTATCCGTAGACAAGAGTGATGCAGATTGGGAGGCTTCCTGGAGGGGGTGGGACTTGGGATGGGACAAAGAGCTAGAGGAGGAAGGCACAGGCATCCTGGTGGAGCAGAGAGGCGGAAATCGGTGTGGGCCGGGAAGGACAGAGAGACTGGTCCAAACAGCAGGCAGGAGGAGCTGGGCAAGCAGGGAAGTTGGACGTAACCTGCCTGTGTTTTCCTAGCTCTAAGGAGTGAGGCGAAGAGGCCTGCCCCAGGCAGACGGGCTGGGGCAACTTTGGGGAGCACTGCCCAGATGCGGGGCCAGAAGCAGAGGGCCCCCGTGGTGCGAGATGCTTTTTCTAGGTTCCCTGGACACGGCTTTCCACTCGCGCCCACTACCCAGCAGCGCCCAGTACGTGCAGCACTCACGGCCCCCCAGGCAGAGGGGCTCCTCCCCTGTGCAGGGTGTTAAAGCCCCTAGTGCCATATGCCAGTGTGTTCAGGGGAGGGGCTATGTACAGGAATGCTGCCTAGGAGATGGCGCTTAGCCATTCTCAGATTTTACAAAGTGTCTGCGGCCACTGCCTGCAGCTTGAGATACAGCAAGAGGTGGGTTGTATGACACACGGATCTGCTTGTGGGTACCATGTGCAGGCTCGGAGAGGTGGGGGGTGTGCATGTGACGGTACCTGTGTGTGTCCAAGCCCTGTGTGGCTACCTTTCTGACCATGTGGATGGTCCCCCAGCATGGGCAGCTCCCCTGGCATGGCTCACCCCTCACTGACCAGGTGACCCCCTCAGAGAGGCCTTTCTCAACTACCCATCTAGGACAGTGCCCTCACCATGTTCAGTCCCCAAGCCTACTTATTTTTCTTTACAGCGGCCTATCTGTGAGCTGCTTTTTTCTTCTGAAACAGAAACTCCCAGATGACAAGGACCTGCCTCACTGCCGGGTCCCCAGTGTGTGGCCCCTAGTGGCCCTCAGTAAAATCTGCTGCATGAAGCAATCAAAGAATGAATCTGCCTCCAACTTGTCCCCACCCCGGCTCCTAAGTCAGGCCTCTGATGGCCTCTTCCCTTCTCCCTGAATGCCCTCTGGCGTCTTGAGTTCTCTCACCTTCACGGCCCAAGTCCCTCCCTGCCTACGCTGCCCCCCTCTGGTAGCCGTCTCTACCCCTCACCTGGCACCCGAAGATTCTGCCTTATACAGTGATTAATCTTTTTATCCTCTCAGGAGCTCCGACCTCAGGTCAAGACCCCTTCCCATCCAGAAACATCCAGCAGAGAGCCTTGTAGAGGCAGGTGGTACAGCAGGAGGGCACAGGAGTTAAAGGGCCAGGAGCCACACCGCCCAGCTTTGATTGCTAGAACTACAACTTGGGCAAGCTCCTGAACTTCTGCGTGCCTCAGTTTCCCTTGTCTGTAGAATGGGGATAACAGTT